GGTCATGTTTTGGACGTTAGAATTTTATTCTTTATTTCTAAATACATAATATTTTCTTATACAGCCTAATTAAATGGGCTACTTAATTCAAACTTCTAAAAATGCTAATTAATAATGATTTCATAACATTCAGTACACATCTATATATATGAAGTTGTAGCTTTTGTCTGTCTGTCTGTTTCTTATCGAACTCCTCTTTGACTTTCGGAGATAAACCCCCCTAGCCATCTATATTCTGTAACTAGATTACCCTGGGTAATTGGATAAACATATTCCATTTTGACCAAAGGTGGTCCCCGGGGGCAGAAACCCCGCACTGTTTTTTTTTCCATTTGATGTTAATTAAATTTAAATTTAGAGAAGAGGATATCAGGTTAGGCGGAATGATCGAAAGACTGATTGAAAGACCATCAAAGATTTAGAAACAGTTTTAAAAAATTCATATGCCAAAAATGAATTATGATTTCTAAATTTAAGATAGTATGGGTAACTTAAAATTATATGCAATTAGCGCCATATAAATAGCTATAAATAATTATTGGTCGATTTTATCATCGTGATAGTTTGGCATTATACCAAGTTTAAGAATATACTACCTAGGGTCCGCACATTGAAGGAGAGAGTTATCAACGATAATGTTCTGACTTCATATCCGCCGTTATCTCTCTTTAACCCCCTCTCAGGAGCTTCTTTGCCTCAGGGTTGCTTGCGCCTTTTCACTGGGATTTATCTTCCAGAGATTAATCTTCAAAAACAACTTCAAACCTTTCATGAGATGCATGTACATTAATCATAATATAAGTTATTTATGTTGTAGTGATTTTCTAAGCCCGGCTTAGATGTAGCACAAGGCCGAAAATATGGGGCACCCAGTGAGGATCGAACTCACTTCTCGGTTGTAATTGATCTATCAAGACAAGCATTCTCAACATTACACCACGTCGAGGCGCCCAAATGATTTTCTAAGACTAGCTCAGATGTGGCATAAAGCCGAAAGTATGGGACATCTAGTGAGGATCGAACTCACATTTCAGTCGCAACTCATCTAGATTGACAAGCTTGGTAACCATTGCACCACGCCGAGGTGCCCAAAATCATTTTCTAAGTCTAGCTCAGATGTGGCACAAGGGCGAAAGTATGGAGCAGCTAGTGAGAATCGAACTCAGTACTCAGTCGTAATTGTTCTAGCAAGACAAGCTTGGTAACCCTTACACCGTCTCGAGGTGCATATTATATTTACGTTGTATATTAGTGATTTTCTAAGCGTAGCGCAGATGTGGTACAACGCCGAAAGTACAGCGCACCCAGTAAGAATCGATCTCACTACTCAGTCGTAATTGTTTTAACAAGACAGGCTTGCTAACCATTACACCGTCTTGAGGTGCCCATGTTATTTACTATGTATATTAGTCATTTTCCAAGCGTAGCTCAGACACTGGCACAACGCCGAAAGTATGGGGCACCTAGTGCGAATCGAACTCACTACTCAGTCGTAATTATTCTAGCAAGACAAGCTTGCCAAACATTGCACCACGCCGAGATGCCCAAATGATTTTCTAAGCGTAGCTTAAATGTGGCAGAAGGCCGGAAGCATCGGGCACCCAGTGAGGATCGTAATCACTACTTAATTGTAACTGTTTTACCGAGACAAGCTTGCTAACCATTAAACCACGTCAAGATGGCCTTATTATCTAAGCATAGCATAGATGTGGCACCAGGCCGAAAATATGGGACATCTAGTGAGGATCGAACTCACATTTCAGTCGCAACTGATCTGGCTTGACAAGCTTGATAACCATTGCACCAAGCCGAGGTTCCCAAAATCATTTTCCAAGCGTAGCTCAGAAGTGGCACAACGCCGAATGTATAAGGCACCCAGTGCGAATCGAACTCACTAATCAGTGGTAATTGTACTAGCAAGATAAGCTTGGTAACCCTTACACCATCTCGAGGTGCCCATGTTATTTACGTTGTACATTATATCTAAAGCACAATTAGTTGATGATTTTATTTTTTAAATATACGTTTTATAGCTTGAAATTTGGTGACTCGCGAGCAAATTTTAATTCCGAAAATGTGGCACTGAAAAAAAAGTTTGCAAATAATTGATCTAGCGATTCAAACTTACTAACGATTACATCACGTCGAAATGCCCAAAACCCGTTCTATACAATTGATAGAAATTAATTCTCGGTCAGAATATTTGAAAAGTTTCTTCTGACTTGCAGAGTAAAGATTATAACGATAAAAGGAATTCCTTTCGACCAGAGTGTGTGAAACTAAAGTGATAACAATCTGAAGATATTGTTACAGGCATACCCAGTGGTTATTTTCGCCGTGCTCGAATAAAGCAGATACGAATCAATGGAGACTTAAAACAGACACAAATGTATTAAGAGGCGTATAACGCCAACTGCTAAGTGCAGGAATAATTTGGTTTGCTTATTTGCATTGAGCCGATGGAAAGTTTTCATATCGGAAATCAAAATTCGAAGATATTCCCAGGAACCAGAAAACCTAGAGACAATACAATAGATAGGAGACGCGTAGACTAAATGTATGCGTCTTATATTTAATAGATACGAAGTCAGTGTAACGAGTATATTTCAAGGGACAGGAGCAGAAACAAAGAAACTGAGGTACGAGAGAAAGTAAAATAAATATTTGAACACGGTGAATGCACATGAAATCCACTCATCTATCCATGCGTACATAGATCATTCGCGCGTGGATTGAAAGATTTTCCATATTATAAAAAGTGAATACAGCTTCTATTCATCTTCAGATCTACAGATATTTGTGCCAAAGTGGTATCAGAAATTTCGAAATCAGTGTTATTGACCGGCTAAGAGACAAAAGGTCAACGGCGAAAAATGTCAGCAAATATTCCTGTTGCAATGTCCAAAGAACTTCGCCGTTGCACAAAATGTGGCCTTCAGGTCACTAGCCGGACTGACGTGTCATATAAGATCCAAACATAAAAACTGAATGGATTAGTCGGATCCTCATACGTGGAAATAGACGATACAATCCGTCAACATATATATATATATATATATATATATATATATATATATATATATATATATATATATAAAGAAATATAGTCTTAAGGTGTGCTATATTTATGGAATAAAGTGCTCAATATCAGAGATAGAGCGTGTGTAAATATAAAAGTGAACATAGAAGTCAACACTTAGAGGCGAGAGTCTGTTTCATGCTATATGCAATCGTAAGGCCACATATGCTGTTATTTTTCTCGGCTATTTATATATATATACGGGTTAGTGGTGCATTAAAATAATGCATGGTGCATTTAATAAAATAAAAACGAGCAATATAATTTGACCCAAATAAATAAACAAGCGACTTCCGGTAAAATAACCGCCATAATAGAATACCCACAATGCACCACTAACCCGTATATATATAAATAGCCGAGAAAAATGACAGCATATGTGGCCTGACGATTGCATATAGCATGAAACAGACTGTCGTCTCTAAGTGTTGACTTTATTTTTATATATATATATATATATATATATATATATAATTATTTATTTCAAAATATGATTCCAACACGCGACATAAATATAATAATTTTAAATAAATAATTATATATTTATCCTCTACTTTTGTATCGAGCATTATTTTTTAAAAATAATAACTAAAATACTAAGGGACTTTGGATTATTTATCTAACCAGTTCTTTCCTATTTTCTATATATTTTCACACACACACACACACACACACACACACACACACACATATATATATATATATATTTCATTTCATTCTGTATCCATATATATATATATATATATATATATATATATATATATATTATTTTCATTTCTGTATCCATTTCATAATATATATATATATATATATATATATATATATATATATTAAAAATGGATACAGTGATAACAATCTGAAGATATCCATTTCATAATATATATATATATATATATATATATATATATATATATATATATATATATATATATATATATTATGAAATGGATACAGTCCGATAATTATTTTTAAGTCAATTTTTTAAAAGTTTATACGTTGTTTTTTTATAGATACAAATATTTAAGTAAAAACTCTGTTTATAATAAACAGTATTAACATTTACCGACCGGAATGTTCGAGAAATTTTCATAGAAAATATTCGTCCTCTGACAGGAATCGAACCTGTATCCTATAATCCTATACGGAACCGTCATATAGCCTGACGTGCCTTAACCGATTTGGCCACAGAGGTTCAATTCCTGTCGGATGACGCATATTTTATCGGTAAATTTATGCCGGTAAATGTCATTAATACTCTTTATTATAAACAGACCATTTACTTAAATATTTGTATCTATAAAAATAACGTATAAACATAAAAAAAATGTCTTACTATATATATATATATATATATATATATATATATATATATATATTTATAAACTATTAATAGATTTTTCAAACTTACCATATGCTTTATTTTTTATTCGAAGCATTATCGATAGAAGTATTTCTGCAGACATCTCTGTTGATATCTACCGGCCATAATACTAAATGATATGTAGGTCTGAAGATGAATAGAATCTGTATTCACCTTTTAATCTGGAAAATCACTTTCTATCAAAGCGTACTTACTATTAAACTACAGATTGAATACTAGATAAAATGTAGATCTAGATATGAATAGAATCTGTATTCACTTTTTAATCTGGAAAAAAATAAATTTACCGCAATGATAATCAATTCATCCCAACTTTATTTTCATAATCGAAATATCATTTAATGGATTTTGTTCTTAATATGAGATTTTCTTATCCATGTATAAGTATTTAGCAGTTGCATGTATTTAGCAGTTGCTTCCTGTTCTTAAAACTTTTTCTACGGTAAGAGTTTTACTCTCTAAGCGGGTAGACATATAAAAATTACAAAATGGGGCGTCTCCAGTATATGTCTCTTCTAGTTATAATACTCATTTTAAGGCTTACGGCAATATCACATTGAAACAGCGGTTCTCGTACGATCACCGAAGTTAAGCAACGTTGAGCCTAGTCAATACACAGATAGCCTTTGGGAATACCAGGTGCTGCAAGCTTAGATATGTGTGGTGTAATGGCTCGAAATTGGAATTCGATTAGCCTTGATACAATTCCCATCGAGTTTGTTATATTCGTTTACACGCAAATATATTTAGGTAAAGTATGAATTTACATCTTCTCCGCAGTTATGGGTTAAATAGTAGTAGTTTTATCAGTAAAAGTCATTTTCTCTCCAAAGAAATGCAACAATTTAAAAAGATTTTCTGGTTTAAATAAGCTGCAAAAGTTTGATAAAGTTGAAGAAACAGATCAATAACTCGCTGGATACTGAGAATACTATGAAGAGACGTAACGAGGAAGTTTAAGGAAAAAAAAATTGAAGCCAACTGTTACTTAGAACCAGAAAGAGAGAGCTGACATTTCTGGTTTTATTGGAAAAAGTAATTAATCTGCATATTATCCCCTCTGTAAAGGGTTAAACAATAGGATTTGGATCAGTAAATCATTATTATCGCTAAAAACTTACTAGCCAAAAATATTTTTCTGCCGTTAAATAAACTAAAAATCTTAAGTCGTAAAAACAAATCAATCAATTAATATTTATTTTAGGGCCGGTAATTTGATCAGGTACGCGTTTGAGCCGGCGTCAGCCGCCCGGGATGCAGAGATAAAAAAAAAAAAAACAGTTAAATATTTTTCTCTTGCTGATAGATTTTTTACTCCAGTGGCAGTGGAGACTTCTGGGGTTATTGGCCATCGTTCGATGGCGTTTCTTCGGAGGATTATTGCCGTTGCGTCTCGATCAAGGGACGTGCCTCGCGAAACGGAGTGGCTCTTGCAGCGTGTCTCACTGGCGATGGTTCGAGGTAATGCTTTCTCCATCATTGCGGCTGGCAAAGGATAGCAAAAATTAAAAAAGAAATTGTTTACAGTTACTTTTTTCAAACTGTTTTAAGAGAATATGACATAATAAACAATGTGAGATAAGATAATAAAAATCGTTACGTCACATCCGTGCGATAAAAACCACACACGCACTGAAGTGGGAATTGCATTGTCATAGATTTTCTTAAGAAAACACTGAATAAAGAGTGCAACCATTTTGAGTTTTTTTCTCTTACTTTCAGCCTTTTCTATCGCTTCTACTTCCGTTTCCGCCTAGTTCAGAGCAGTCAAACATAGCGCCGTCTGTACCTGACTATAAAAACTGAGCACAGGCAAATTAAATGAAATCAAGTGATTTTAAGAGACAGCAATCAGAGCAGTTAGAGATGAAGAAAAAGAGAGAGAGATGTTTCGTCACTTCTTCCTTGAAACTTTGATTGGCGCTTGGGGTTCCGCATCCGTTTAATGGAATGTCAGGCAAAATTGAATGATGGAGGCAAAATACAATTTTTATCTTTTTACGTTTTTTTTTTCTTTTTTGACTACTGAGACGTGAAATCATTTGGTCATATATAACACAAAAAGACAATCAAATTGTCATTGTAAATTCTATTTGTCGTATCTTGACAGCGGAGATTGAAGAATGGAGGAAGTAGGTCGGATATTCATGGATCAATGTGAGTTGTGCCATTCTGTACACATACCCCAATAATAATGGAACCAAATATATATATATATATATATATATATATATATATATATATATATATATATGTTGATAATAGTTTCATTATATATTTGGCAAAAGAAAAACAGGATGTCCTTATGCGTGTGCTTTTTAACGTTCTTATTTTGAAACTCTCCGAGTCATGCGTCCCTTGTTTGAGGTTTGCTTTATTTCAAACACACACACACACACACACACACACACACACACATATATATATATATATATATATATATATATATATATACTGTGTGTGTGTGTGCGTGCAAATTTAATCACTAATACATGTTTTTTAAACGAATAAAAATATTAAAATAAAAATTTCAGAAACTCTGCATTGTATATTAATATTTTTTATATACAAATATATCGTTTTATTATTTTAATTAGGTTCCTTGACTCATACACACACACACACACACACACACACACACACACACACACAAATATATATATATATATATATATATATATATATAAATATATAAAATTTGTTGGTCAGATTTGAATCAGACCAAGGGACGGTTATATTAAAAATGCTCGATACACAATCAAAAAATCGTGCGTGCAGAGCTTTTTAATATAAAAAAGTAATCACTTACGCTACCATGTTTTCAGCTATTGGTGTCGTGTAAGGTAGTAGAAAATAATTAATTTCCTTACGCTATATTTGTTTAACAGAAAGTGACACAGAAGTAGAGGGTTAAGCAAGGGTGGTGGTTTAGGATGGGATGAAGAGTGACAAAAAGATGTACGTACTTTCATAGGTGTTCGTATGAACACAAACTATACTTTGTAATATGTTTACACCTCGACATGACTTCAGGCATCTCATTTAACAGATTTTTTTTTATGCGTTTACGTTATTATTATGTACTCGTCAATACCGCCTTTTTCAAAGGCAGCTGCGGAACAGAACTTTTATAATTTTTTTTAGAAGAAACAAGTCTTAAACAATGATAAAAGCAGCTCTGTGCAAACAGTCCTAGTCAATTTTGAAAACCAGTTATCTGACTGCAGCATTTTCTAGAAAATTAGAAATAAAATTCCGCAAAGCGCCAAACCTCCAGGAATTTCCAAAATAAACCTCCAGGATCTTCCATTATAAACCTCCAGGAAGTTCTATTATAAACCTCCAGGAAGTGCTATTATAAATAGATTTGAGGTTAGGCCGCCCGCCTAAGATAAAGATAAGTTCTTTGTAATGAATTTTGAATCTAATTACACTACAGTCGGCATAGGCCATCTCCCACCTGACTTAATCTTTCTCAGTGTCAAGTTGCTTAGTTTCTGAGCAAATGAAAATCATTGAATTTACTAAAGCACTGTTCCGGGTAAAATGCCTTTAGTTATTTTAAGAACATTTAAATTGTATGGCGATAAATGTATAGTTGTCAGTGAAAGAGATAACACAATATTATAATTCCAGATTGGAGACACGACAATTAAGCAAGTACAAATATCTAAGTATTTCAGCAGATGTGACTTCAAAATCCGAAAGCGCATTGGCATTGTGAAAGATGCCTTGTAAAAACTAAGTAAAGGAAGGTTTCGTTACAAACAAAGAAATGAGTACATAACTGTTAGATATGTAGATGACGAAGCAACTCGTATCTGACGATGGCAGTCTAATAAGGCGGCTAGATAATATTCTTTGCAGATACCTGCTCAGGCACATTTGTGTTTGCTCAACACCCACAGATCCTAGCTGTGTTTCATACTACAATCATGCTGATTGGACCTTGCAGTTTCTTTGAGAGAGCGTGTTATCTAGCTTGGCCAACGGTCTGAACAAGGCTACCACGTTTAACCCCTCGGTCACGATGACTTGTGACTTCCTGCTAGCACATCCACAGACGGCTTCTAAGGATTCCGTTTACTCAAGTCTTGGGTCAACCCGTGGTATATTTTTCAGAAATTTTACAAAGATCGCCTCAAACTGATAATAGCAAGAAGTCAAAATCCTGAAAAATCAAACATGGTGTGATTCGAACCCGTCTCTTGGTGAGAAAGCTAATGTTCTATTGTGGAGACAAACAATTTTGCGTGAGTGACCAAATGTTTTTCCTTACAGGGATTACTTATTAGATATACGGAAGAAGGGACTTGTAATGTTGTTCCATAGAAGGATACTGATTATATAATGGATTGAATATGTGAGGAACGAATAAGTTTTAGAGAAAATGAAAATAAAAAAAAAACAATAGAGCATTGAAATTAGTCGAACAAGGATAAGAAAAAATAGTAAAATGGCTAAATTCACTAAGAGCTACAAAGGTCAGGGAGGGTCATCATCTTCCATAAACTCATGGAACACGACACATAGAAGAAGAAGAAGAAGAAGAAGAAGAAGAAGTAGATTTCAAAATCTACTTTCTTCATCTGCAAACTAGATAATTCATTTTCTCCCCAGCAGAAGAAGAGGTTATCTATCTATCTATCTATCTATCTATCTATCTATCTATCTATCTATCTATCTATCTCAGTCTATACCTTATCTCTATCTATCTATCTATCTCATCTATCTATCTATCTATCTATCTATCTCAGTCTATCTCCTTCTCTATCTATCTATCTATCTATCTATTCATTCTATCTATCTATCTATCTATCTATCTCAGTTTGCACCTTATCTATCTATCTATCTATCTATCTATCTATCTATCTATCTCATTCTGTTTCTATCTATTTCAGTCTGTTCATTATCTATCTATCTATCTATCTATCTATCTATCTATCTATCTCATTCTGTTTCTATCTATTTCAGTTCATTCATATCTATCTAATCTATCTATCTATCTATCTATCTATCTACTCATACCTCATTTTAATCACTGAAACACAAGTGCACTATATATGGTTGGAATGTCGAACTGAACCCTTTATTTCGCTCACTGGGGTAGACTGGTTCCACGTGCCATGTGTAATGGATGTCAGTTATCAGTTATCTCCTGTTAGTTCCCCTCTCCAAGTTCTCCACCGCCTTAACCAGGGACACATGGACAGTGGATAAAGGCGTTGGTTAGATTCAGTGACAGGACCCAAAGAGTGTGAGTTCAATACTTGTTTAGGGAGAACTTCGAGAGGGGAATTAACAGGAGATAACTGATAACTGACATCCAGTAGACATGCACGTTTGAACTAGAACAGTCTACCCCAGTGATCGAAATAAAGGGTACAGTTCGGCATTCCAACCACCTGAAGAAGGTCAGAGCGTATAACGACCGAAACGTTGTAATAAATATGGCAACAAAGATGAGAACAATAGCCTGAATAATGTAAATAGTCTACATGATACCTCATCTCAGAATTATAGACAGATACTGAAAGGCAAGTAGTTACTGAGTATTTTAGTATTAAGTTGAAAGCACAATAAAAAAGAAACGGGAAAAAATATAGTAGTTAATGATTAACATTGAATTTACATTTTTCAGGATCAAAT